TATTGTTCTGTTTATTTTTATCCTGCTGCTAAACTAATTTCCCCTTGTGGGACAATAAAGAAATTGAATTGAATTGAATTTCCACACTCGTCTTCAGTCAAATCAACAAGGAGATGTTACTCAGAGTTATCATTCCATTATTGATGTAACTTATATATTTGATTCCTTATCAGTTCTCGCTGTCTCTGTTTGAGGGTCACCATCATCTGTAAGCAGCGTATCAAAGACTTTACATCCGTGAATATTAACATCGTCAAATGTTTGTTATGGTCAGTGTTTGGGTCATTACTCAAAAAACATGATGTATTACGCAGAACACCTTTCTTAAAAGGGATGCAAGTAATCTGTTACACTACTTGTAACATTATTTTTGCATTTTCCCATAAAATGGTCAAACGCATTGTGTACGGTTTTTACTAAGCTAACTACCTTTAATTTAGTAAACTCCCACCGTAAGGGTGTGTTTTAACTGATGAAACTGTGTCGTACTCAGGCTCGGACATCTGATTGCTGCCTTTTATAAGCTTTATTGCACAAGCTAACACCAGTACAGTAACCGTGCCTTTACAGAAGCCAGGTAATCAACTGAAAGACACAAAATAAAACAACCATACAACATTAACAAAGCAACACTGTTAATGACAGTACAGTTTAGTAATAGTCATATTTATAGCTTTAACATGTTACTTAGTTAACACAGAAACTCACCAGCTCGGCTTCATTTATCATATCATATCATATGTCATAACAGCAATATCAATGAAAAGAAGATCCGGCAGGTAGGATCTATGAGCGGCCGGTAATACGTACCATCCCAGACTTACATAAATCACTCCGTCTTAAATAAATTTGTCATTTAAAGCAAATATGGGTCTGGCTGATAATAAATCACAACAAAATAAATTAGCATGTTAGTAATATGGGAAAAAAACACACACATCGTCTCATATATACATGCAGGACACACATATGATCTTTCTCTTAGCAGTGGCATGCAGCGACTTTTACAGAACAAAGATGCTGCTGACCCTGCACCTGCTCAACATGGTCAGAGCCACAGCCTTCAGCTTCTTCCTGTTCAAATGGAGTTTTTCCTCCCCACATTCGCCAAAGTGTTTGCTCATAGGGCTCGTCTGATTGTTGGGCTTTCTCTGGATTATTGGTCTTTATGTTACAATATTAAGCCCCTTGTATAAATAACTGCAGCCAGTAATGTTAATGATGGATACACATACTAATCTAGGCGAGGAGCTTTATGGCAGCGCTGTTTGACATGAGAGAGAGAAATCACTTTACTTTGGTGCATTTTAAATATTGTCAATATTGTTTATATTTGACACGTCCTGATGGAAAGCCACTGGTATTTAGATATGAACACAAAGCCGGCAGCACAAAGCAAAGATGAAAACAAAGAGCCTTTAACTGCCACAATGATTCTACTGTAGAAACATGAACTGCAGCCTGACTGCTCATCCGTTTATTACCTTTATTACCTGTTTAACACCAGCGTCTGGCAGCCTGACTGTTGGTCTTTGTTCAGCTTTAACAGAAATCTGGGTTCTTGGCTAGCTTAGGTTTAGTCTGTGCTGTCTGTGCAGGGACTTGTAAAGAGCTGAAGCTGTGTTAGCAGCGTAATGCAGTTGTTTCTGTCGTGGATGCAGTTTCATGTCTATATCTACACTGTAGAGCGAGCCACTGTTTTCCTCCTCTAGCATACAATCTGAAATCAGCTGATTGTAGCACAAGTGCAAGTGGAATGGATAAACGGGTTCAATAGGCAGGCAGACAACAATGTCAAGGAGCTGAACTACTGGGGATCAGCTCTCTTTTATCATCACCGTCCTGACACATGTTTGTTTTTCTATCAAAATGTCTGAACAACATTTTAATCCGAGTCAGGAAATATTAAGTCCTTTCACACTAATATTCCAAAGATTATGAGGACCTCTAAACATCACACTGAACGACATCACTCTACAGACTAAACTAAGCAAAATGTTTAAATAGGCTCATCAGTACAGACAAAAGAGCAAATTGTTCCAACAAAACCATGTAAGTCATTTCGTTGTAAATCAAAACAAATGTTGGAAACACATAATGTGTTATTTACTCACCACATGTCGCGGCTGGTTGGGCGAAGAAACCACCACACTGTTACAGATGGCCAGAGCCAGGAAGAAGTCCGTTATGTACGTGAGCTCCATGCTGGATGGAGTCTCGGACGAGGAGTGATTCGTCAGCCAGTTCAGCTTCCTGCCAAGTGCGGGGTCTGGTACCACCTCCTTTGCCTGAACACAGGAGCAACAGGTGCTTACCCAACATGCCAACAATGGGATAATATGTAAAAGCAGTGGAGTAAATGTAGTGTGAGAAATATGCAAAAAACTAAGAATTCAAAAAGGGGGCAAAAACAGCCAGTAATTAATAAAACCAACTTTTTATAAGGTCTCCAAGCCGAGTTTTTGATGTGCAAAATGTTGAACTGTCTGCTTTTGAAACTGTAACTATGAAGTCAGCATACCGAGGGAATCTTTTGATTATCAGGATTCACTTACAGTAATATTTGCAGTCAGGAGAAACGATCACACAGAGCTGATTATTACATATTTACTCAGAGATTCTCCCACATTCAAATTAAATAACTGCCACTTCCAACATCCGACCAATCACAGGACATCAGCAGAGCAACTGAATTTAAAATGAAGATAAACTGTTCTCAGTTAAACACTCTGCTCGGTTTTAACTGCAGCAACATAACAGCTACAGATCGTGTAAATTAAAGTCTATCTGAAGACGGGAAGGAAATCTGGCAAAGGTGCTGATTGTGTAACTTATCAAAATGTAATATTTGTCTTTCACAAACAGGATGTGATGCGATCAGTATTTCATTAAAAGAATGTTTAAAGGACTTGTGGTGTTTTTAAGAGTTTGAAAGTAAAGAAGTAATATAAGCACAAAGACAGGACTAGACTATGTTTTATTGTATTTTAGGTCAACAAGTACAAATAGGTGTCCAATCTTAGATTTGTATATTAATACTGACAGAAGAATAAAACTGCAGCCAGTAGGAAAAAAGAATTTAAGGAATAAAGCTAAGGATCCAGATTTTGTAGATTAAATAACACAAAGACATTAGATTTAGACATTTTCTGGTGAGTGATTAGTCAGACGGTGATGTCATACCTGCTAATCTCTAATCTGGACCATGACCATGAGTTAGGTTTGCAGCATAAGGAGATGGTCTCATATACATGGACCAGGCAAGAAATTCCACCAGTTTGACTTTGAGGCTCGTCTTTTAATTAGAAGTCATTTCAAGTAACAACACTGTTTGACCACATGCACCACTGTCACCACATCTGTGAGCTGTTTGTCTTCTCTGTGACAGCAGAGGATGTTGGTGTCGTTGGGTAGTGAACCCCAGAACATGAGGGGATCCTCATGCATCTGGTTAAGCAGTGTGCCAATGTGTGTTGTTATAGTAAACAGTAACTACTACAACACAAGTCTCAACATGTGCCATTACAAAGTTTTGATAACGTCACAGTTAAAGAAGGACTGACTAGATTTGTTCAGACTTTTAGCTGTGTTGTGTTTGGAGTAGACTCTGATTATATACACCAGGGTCTATAAATTATAAAATTACAAAATGTTTGTTTAATAAAAACATCTTTTAACATGAGTATTATTCTAACAGTACAAAGATGCAATTTTGCATCAAACATCTGATGTGTGTGAGAGAATCTGACCATGCGGCTGCAGAAGGCACCGGTCCTGGGCTGGGCGTGACCCGACAGTTGATCCTCCTCCATTGGCTCAGCAGTAAGCGTGTGGAGAGACACAGAGCTGCGGTTGCAGCTCAGAGAGCGACAGCTCAGAGATTTCCCACTGCAGCCTGACTTCAGAGTCACAGAGCAAACAGCCGTCTCCGTGTTTTCTGATTCGTACACCTCAAGCCTTCGAGCTGACACACACAACAACACATCAACAATGACACCGTGCAGGCTGTCACTAGCATACCTGTAGTTTAAGGATAATGTGCTGTATTGTCTAAAATCTAATAAATCTTTATGCATTTATGATCAGATGTCAGAATGTTTTATTTACTGGATGTTATTCTCCAGTTCAAGCATTTTGATGTTAATTTAATTATATTATGTTTTTGTTTTTAGTTTAGCTTAGTTTCATTATAGTGCCTAAAAACAACAACTGTCACCTCAAAGTGCTTCAAATCTCTGCTGATACCATTTAGACCCTCTTTCTTTCATTGTATTAAACAATAATAGAGCATAGACCATGGAGCAACAGCAGCAGACTGAAACTTGACGTATGTCATTAAATTAGAAGAAGAGCTCTATTTAATGCTTAACTGAAATTGCCAATAAATTATTAATGAATATCCGTCCATCCATCCCGGCCACTAGGGGGAGTAGCTCATAAACCAACAACCCGAGATGTCCTCAGCTACCTCCTCATCAGAATGTCGAGGCTTTTCCAGGTCGGCTGAGAGAGATCATCTCCAGTGTGTCTTGGGTCTACCTCCCCTCACTGATAAAAATGATCAACTCAATCAATGGTGAAGTCCAAAACCCACAACAAGTCAGAAATATTACCAGCAATGTAGACCAAGTTCTCAGTGTGATTGTACGGATGTGGAAGGTGCATTAGGGGAGTGGGATTCCCCATATACCCACAGTACTTTCCACAGGACATGGTGATATGCTTTCTCTAGGACCAAAGTGTAACTCCTACTCAATACCTTTGAGAGGATAAAGGTCTGGTCTAGTGTTCTACAAGCAGGATAAACCAACTGTTGCCCTGAATCTGAAGTTAGCGTAACAGGCTCTCTTCTCCAGTATCCTGGCATAGACCCCTGGTCCCCAAAGTCTGTTTCTTCTATAGAAGGTTGTCTGTGGGACTGAGGATATGTTCAAACTCGTCTTTCCACTGCCTGACTATATCCT